AATCAATCCATCTCATAGAGGGTCTTCCCTTCCTGCGCCGTCCCTCCACCCTCCCAAGCATGATGTCCTTCTCCAAGGACCCGTCCTTCCTGGCAACATGTCCAAAGTATGTCAGACGAAGCCCCAGAATCCTTGCCTCCAAGGAGTAGCTTGGTTTAATCCTCTCCAAGCAAATGGAATTTCTGTCCACTTTTCAGAAATCCAACTAATGGTGATAAATTGAAACAAATCTGGGGTATTTTTCAGTTAAGTAATTGATGGCTAAACACCAATGCTGGCCCAGCATATTGTGAAAAGGTATCTAACCTGTAACTCTTTAGATAACACACATACACATACATAATTAAGCACTGGTGAAGCAGTGGTTAAGTGCTGGGCTGTTTGCCATAATGACTGGCATTTCAAACCCACCCAGGGACTCTATGGGAGAAAGAGGGGGCGGCCTCCTCCCTTAAAGGTTACAGCCAAGAGAATCTTATGGGACGATTCTACTGTGTCATACAGGGTCGGGATCCTTATGACAGCACCTAACAACATATACATGTTGTTGTTAAGTGCCGTAGAGTCATAGACAACTCATAGTGACCCTATGAATGAAAGACCTGAACACCTGTATAACTTTGGTCATTTCTCCATGTTCATAGAGTTTCTGCAGGCATGCATTTCAGAAATATACATGTTTTATATATATATATTCTAACTGAAGTTTTGTGGTTCAAACCCACACAGTCTACTTCTTTGAAGATTATAGCCTTGAAAATCCTATGGGGCACAGTCTCCTCTGTCCTACAGGGTCATGAAGAGGCACGATCAACTCAAGACAATGAGTTTGTGGGTTGGTTTGTTTTATGGGAAAGAAAATACATAAGCTGAAACAAAGTAACTCCACGCCAATGAGCCCCAAATGCCAATCCTGCTTACTATCTCAGGCTAGTGAGAACTTGGGAAACTCTGGTGGTACAGCGGTTAAGAAGCTGTGCAGCAGTCTCAAAGGCATGTAGTTCTAATCCACCAGCTTCTCCACGGGAGGAGGATGGGCAATCTCCTCTCGTGTGACTTTCTGCCTCTGAAACCCACTGGGGTGTCAATCATGGGTCGGATCCAACTCGACAGCACACAACCACCACAGTGAGAACATCAACAGCATAACCTTTCCTTATTTGCTTTACTGTTGTACACTTTTGCTAAATGACTATATTGGCTTTCAAAATGAAATACTAAAAATATGACCAACACCATTTTCTTTTTTTTAAAACTACCCCTCCTACCTGTCTCTTGGCAGCTGATTCCGTTGCCCAGGCATGTGCACAGCATCCGCTTGTTGCCCTGGGTCTTCAGCCACTGCATCCCCACAGAGTAAACCACGTCACTGTCGGTGACACAGTGACCATAAGGGCCGGGCTGCGGGTGAGGCTGGGGCTGGTAAATGGCTGTCCGGACATCAGTGATGGAGCCGGTTCCTAAGGGCACAAGAACGGAAAGTCAGAAGGTTGCACAAAAGACAGCCAGCTGTCTGCTGGAATCAAGAGCTCAAGGTCACCCAGCAATGCAAAGCAATGGTCTTCCGCTCTGCATTAACTTTTATACTCAGCCTAGAATATAACTCTCCAGTGTTCCCAGTGTTCCAGCTCATCTAGAGCTACTGGGATCACGTTTCCAATAGAGACAGTACTCTGCCACTGAGCAGAGCAGGTACCTTCAACCACTTCTTATCCGGGCAAGTCTGTGCCTTCGACACCCTCCATACCTAGCTTCCTGCCTTTCTCACTTCCGGCCACTATGTCTTCATCTCACTGAACGCATCATTCTTGTGTGTTCCCTGGGTACACATCACAGCCCCCTCTCCTCTGGAATGTCCCTTTTCCGTGACTTTCTTAAGCTCAAGTCATCAGGCAGTCAGCCTTCCTTCTACGTCCTAGCAGCCCTTCTGCTATCTCAGCAGCTCGGTACTCAGAGGGCAGCCATGCTGTCCTCTTTAGAAGTCTCATCTTTCTGTGTTTCATTCATCCTCAGAATTATTTATGACACTATAGCATTTTTTTTTCTAAAAGTCCTCAATTCTGTGAAGACGCCTTTCCTTTCAGAGTAAGACAACAGACTGTGTTGTCTTTTCCTTTCAAATTTTGAAAATATATCCTGAATTTCAGGACCCACAGAATCAGTCCGTACAGACTCTAGAATGAAGGACTGACTGAATTCAGCACTTAAGTGCTGCAAAAGAACAGATTCCCCAAGAGATTTCATAGGTTAGCAATCTCAAGGTCAAATATATTTGGGTGATATGACACCATATACCCAAATACGACCCCATCTTAGAGAATCTCAGTGGAAAGAAGCCTGTAGACCTTGTAGAAGCAAGTTTCACTTGGTTTAGGCCTGTATTCCCCAGCTTATTTGATAACTAGACAGTAAACTTTTTCCAGTAAAATATTAACAAAATTAGCAAACACGTACTGAGTGTTATCTCTAGACTGATCCCACTTATCTCTAGACTACACTACATGTTTACACAATTCTAGCACACGGACAATTCTAATTTGGGATGAGGGAAGCAAAAGATGTCACCAGAGATTTTATGGATAATAATAGAATAGCTCAGAGCCAGAATTATTGTTGTTGTTGTTACGTGCCATCGAGTCGTTTGTGACTCATAGCGACCCTATGCACAACAGCCCTAAACCCTGCTCTATCCTGCGCCAACCGCACTGCCTCTGACACACCCATCCC